TCAAAGTAAGTGTTAATTTCTTCTAAGCTTGCATTTGTTAACGATTTTTTTAATCTAAATCAATTTTATTTTTCTGGATTAAGGGGGAAGATTGTTTAAATGGTAAATAAGGAGTATTATCAGAAATGAGGGCTAAACCTATTGATTAATTAAATTGTTATTAATATTATCAGAATACATGTAGAATAAGTAAAATACACCTTTCACACACTTGCATCACAAAGTTTCACAATTACAAATGTTTTTGGACTTTTTCAGAGTCTACTTCAGCTTACACTTGTCGTTTTACGAACAATTGCCAAGAACTTTAATTTTGGAATGTTCTTTCCATTTTTATTCTATAGATGTATCAATTTTAAATGATTTATGGTGCTTGTTTTAAGCTGGCATGATCACCAAATGATATAAATAATAAACTAACCAAGTAATAGCAAATACATATAAACATTTAACAAAAAGATCATAAAATTAATGTGTGTTAAATAAGAATAGTAATTGACTCAGATCCGACTATTTATTGTTGGGCTATGGACGAATTCCCTCCATTCATTTCATAGTGTGTTGAATTCCTTCCTTTATGAGTTGTTAAATATTTCCCAAGATTCTAAGATTCCAAGTTTTTGTATGTCGAATAACCGTCTTAACTGCCTTGCTTCATTTCAGACACCTTGGGCTCACTTGCATATTGGCTCGAACAGTATAAAACTTTGTACTGGAAGTGTGTGAAAAGATATATTTTCAGTAAATTGTTATTAACTTAAAGTTAGAAATTAGCAATAACACAATTCTAAATCCTTTATTGCTGTCAATCAATTCTTTGAATTTCTCAATTAACAAACAATACCATTACATAATTATTTATTATTTTAATTATAATGGAAACTGGCATATTGGTGAAAACAATGCTGATGACAATAACCAAATAGACAGCATAAGTGCAGTTGGAGAGGGGTTAGTGAGTCAAGCCTACATTCCTACAGTAACCAGCTGTCTTACTGCTCACTTTATACATTCACAAAGCTTTTATGAATTATAATAGCAGTAGTACACATCAAATAATGTGGAATCTTGGTTAATCAGGGCTGTTTTTTTATAATGAAATATGTATAGTATATATTTTTGATTATATCCATACGTGCGGATTTAAATTTTGATTTATGCTAATGTTGGTTGTTTTTAATCCGTCGATACTTTATTGCAGGCATTGATTTGTTTAATCGATAAGAAAACGGGTGAGAAGAGCAAAACACGGCCGAGGTTTGTCAAGCAGGACCAGATTGCAATCATGAGAATGGAATGCGCCGGCGTGATTTGTTTGGAACCTTTCAAAGAATTCCCTCAGATGGGACGCTTCACACTCAGAGACGAAGGCACATAATACTTTTTCGTACAGAATACTTTACCATTCTTTTGTAAGTAACAGTATTTTTTCTAATATTTGAATTAACATTGCAGGTAAGACAATTGCAATCGGCAAAGTTCTTCGGATGGTGGAATAATTCCAAATTCAAACTATCGGATTCCCGTCTAAATGGAAAAGAAAATTTGACAGCTGATTTTGACGAAGACACTCGATTGGCCAATATCACAAGCTCAGACTTTTTCCATCCAGGGTTTATTATGTGCAGGAAAAAAAAAAGATTTTGTATGGTTCGAGAAACGTTGTTTGGTGTAACTACCAAAAACTAAGGGTGGAGTTTTTCTTTATATAAAAAAAAAAATCAATACAGTTAAATATTGTTATGACATGAAACCGTGTAGTCAAGTGGTCACATAAGGCAAGCAGAAAAAGCAAAAGTACCCTGATAAAATGAATGTTAGAATGTCTGCATGTCTTGCATAATTAGAAAACTAATGATTGCATCAAAAGCACCTTTTACAAAACTGATACAGGAAAAAAAAACTTGGCTTCAGAACTAATTTTTTTAAGAAAAGGGGGAAAAAAATCATATTAATAAAAGGATACGATACGATTATATGTAGTTAGATGGTTAAAAGTTTGAAAAATGAATTTAAAAAAAACAAAGAGAAAACTAGTTGTTTTACCATTACATAATATTCGAAAGATTTAGCTTATCTTTTTATTTATAAATGTTGTTTTTTATATGCCCACTAAAAACCGATTGGCGCAAATTTACTTGGAGGAAAACGAAACCCGCTCCCGTTCTTTTGGCCGCATATTTTATATTTCCTGTTGGAATTCATGCAGCGCACTCACTAACCGTGGATGGATTTTATCGGAACGTTAGAAAAATGTAACTGTCAAATACACACGCATAAGTTTTGTATTATTTTCAAAACATGCTTAACATTATATTAATGTGATACTACTTTTATTGAGATGTTTTCAATTAAGTGTTAATCACATGAATGAAAATAAAGCTGACGAATCTTAAAAGAAAGAAAAGGGGAAAAAGATATATATATATATATTATATATAAATGTACTTTTTTTTTTTATTTTAAGATGCCGTTTTTGCAAACTTAACCTCTTGAGTACACTTTGCTTATCGTTTCGTTTTATGTCGCTTCTTCTTCGTTTATATACAAGAGTTTTTCTTTCATATAATTTCATTACAAAAAAATATTCATACCTGTTATTATAGAAGGTGAATGGATTTTTGTCTCACGAGAAAAAGTAACTTCATTAATAACATATTTCTTGTTTTATTGAGATTACTTGAAAGCTGTATTTATTGAAAAGTGGGATAGTAAATTGTTTCTTCCTAGCTAACGAGTACTGGTATTTAATTTTTGATTCGAAGAATGATGCACCCTCTCTGTTCGGATCAAAACTTCTCCTATGAAAGCTCGTCCCTGCCATTTTTCTTAAAGGTAGATCCCTCAATAAAAACTGGATTTAAACTTGCCCCATTGGGAATTGGTATGGCAAATATTGTACAAAATATATTTATAAAGCTTTCTATACGGTTCGAATGCTGTTAGATTTATAATTTTTTGATCATTTAATACGAATTTATTTTTTCTTTTTTTTTAAAATAAATTGCATGACCGAATATCTGCTTTATGTTACGTAAAGGATGCTTCTTATGCTTAAGTTTATGTCTATATATATAGGTCGAATTATGTAAAGTTTTGTTAAATAAAAAGACATTTTTTAAGTTTAATAAACTTTTAGAAATGATTGAAAATAAAAGCTTTGGATGAGGTACGAAAACACATTTTCTTCCTTATTCCAATTGTAGATGTAGTAACAAATAATACATAATAAGAATTCAGT